CGGAATTTTCCTTTCATTTAGAACAGTACCGGTAGTTCTACAACTTAACAATGTCAAGCACTACAAATTTTGTTCTGGTTAGAAACTTTTAATTTTAGATTTTTGCATTAAGATTTCACTCATAATAATAATACATACAGGAGGTAATATATACATAACATATATACATGTCTGCTTCTTTGCTCATATTTTCACATTGCTTTTGCTTGCTTTGCAAAAATCGATTTCAAGCAATCAATGGAGCATCAAACGAGAAAAATTCATAATTGACGATTTTAAATGAAACCTTAACCAGCACAATCGCATTTCTTGGCAACGAGAAAAAAATATTTCAGTTATTACAACTTAATTAACAGTTTTTTCGTTTTTCCTGATGGTTATTTGTATCTGTATGTAACGAAGATTATTCATGTCTTGACGGCACCTGCCAGGCCACTATCACGTAAGTCTATCTTTCTTAATAAACTAAAATCAGCAAACAGAATTCCTCAGTAAAGTTTAGTCAGTCGACATGCTATAAATGAAAATTCCGTCTATGTAATCTAATATGTTTCTCCAAAATTCCAAAATTTTTAGTTTTTTTAGCTCCATAAACGATACAAATCATTTTTCCATCAGGGAAGGAGTATTTTTATAACTTTGCAATTCTTTTCAAATTTCCTTTTTTTATGTATTAAGAGGTTGTAGTTGTCTTGTTTTCTATCTTCTATTGAAATGATTTACGTCTTGACTTGATCTTTTATTTTCAGTTTTCCAAAGTTAGATGTTTTGTTTCACAACGCTTTGAACTAAATATCTTGCAGATGTCTCCATGCCTGTCTGTTATTACCAATTTATATCTAAGGCAATGATGCACAAAAACAGAGAAAAATAACAAGGGTGGTAAAATACTTCTTATTCAGTCATCACACGCAACAGATCCGCAGGTTTTTTCCACATATTTTAAGAAAATAATCGCTAATAAGGAAGTCTTCTTTTAAGATATAGTATAAATAAGAAGGGTCTAAGTAATCGTGGCCGGGCAAGTGCTGTGGAGACGAAATATTTCTCGTTACAATTTCTGGTATCTTGAGGGGAAAAAGAAACGACCTTTTATTGAGCTGCAAAATTAAATCGACAACTAATTCAAAAGGAGGAGGAACACAGATGAACGCCAGTTTTGGAGAATTTACTTTATCCCCCTCTTTGGTAGATGAGTTGCATCATCGGTTCATTTCTTTCCTAGTGGTGCACATTTTCTTTTCCCACACAACATTTCTTGGCAATTCTCTGATCCTTGCTGCTCTGCACAAGACTTCTTTGTTATTTTCCACATAATATAGTTACTACTGTAATAAGCCAGAGTAAAACACATAGATAGAAATAGCAGTTGTCTCAGTTTACCTTATATCGACTTTAAACCAGTTTCTTTACTTTAAGTAAGACAAGCAGTAAAGCAGATAATAAAACAAGCACTTTGCTGTTCACGGTGTTAGATGCCTCATGCGTTGTAATCGTCGTATTGCTTCCATAGCTGACTTCTAAAGTTCGCGGTTATTATTAAGAAAAACTCGTTAGCTATTTTATTGGAAGGATGAAATAAGAAGCACAGTTTAATCAAGCTGTTGTTCATATTCTTTATTTCCATACGAGTGAGAGCGAATTGAAACACTAAAAACGAGCACATATTAAGAATATCTTCCAAGCGACAGATCTAATCTTGAATACAACAACACATATCGCATAGGAAAAAAGTTCCAGTTGTGAAATTAGATCCTGCTCGAGTTATACTCGTGCAGTATTGATGATTGTACAGCAGACTTGTGACGTCTCTGTAGATTTTATGGAATGCTCATTGAATTAACTTTCCGGAGGGAAAAAAAAAGAAACTAAATAAGATCCCTCTGTGAGATAATTTTGTAATGCTTTGTCTCCACATGAACATCAGACAGGGAATGGAAGTTCTGGTCACATCTTTAATCAATCGAAAGAATGAGTGGAGATGTTTATATTGTTATTTGATGTTAGGTGAGTTTTTGTAATTAAAATGACCATCAATGGTTATTAAAGAGGTCTTTTAAAACTAAGGTCTTAATTCATTCTTATCAAGAACAGTTTTCCAAATGATTTTTTAGTAGGACTAATATAAAATAAAGTCACAGATGTCCCACACAGTTCTGTCTCACTGTCATCTTTATTCCGGATGGCCTGCGATAATTTGTACAACATTGATTCATATATGTGAACTGCGGATTAGGCGTGGGGTGGTTCAGAGAGCTTGACGCACGATTTCATCAGCTGCCTTCATGACTTCTCTGTGCCCATATCCTTTCTCCAATCATCGCGGACCTTCGTTAGCAGCAGCCGATAGGACTTTTGCATTTGTATCCCAACTAGCTTGGCAATATAGAAGCCTTAACTGTGCTCTGTTCTGTTGCGAAGCACTTAGGAAGCGATTAGAGCACTCAAGAAGAGGGGAGAAACACTAAACGTACATATCTTTCGTGTCCTAGCCGCTTCCTGCGTGCTTTATAACAAAACAGAGTACAGCCAAGGTTTATCTATTTGTTAAATGATGGGATAAATTATATACAAATTTTGATTGGTTCTTACCTATGATCTTAATGTAGGACAGACACGTAAGCTACGTCGCCTATAACATTTTTCAATTTACAATATAAAAAAATTGATTCCATGTTACCTTTGGTCTGTTCAGTAATAGATCAAAGAAGACGTTCATCAGTCTTAAAACTAGAATGTTATTATTCATGATAGGCAAGAATATAGGTATGTCCAGCAACCTAACACGTCAAGCTTGTAAACTGTAATTCTTCCAAAAAGATCCGTACTACTTGAAAATAAGAGCTTTAAAACTTTCATCCTCCGAGAGCCTATGGCTGGAAAAGTCTTCACTCCATGTTAAGGCATTCAACATACACAAGCAAATAAATTTTTCAGAAAAGAAATAAATGCCTGCAAATGGTAAGATGCAATTCCTAAAATATTTACCATAGAGTGCTGGAAATGGTCCTATATCTTCCTTTGGAAAATAATTCTTAAAAAAAGCATGTAAAGAATCAATGGTAGGTATAATACAGGGACTTAGGTCAGTTTTTTTAAGATAGAGAGATTCCAATTCTAACATATTTAGCCCAAAACCTATTTTTGGTGAATATTTCTGACCCTCCATTGTCACCACAATCCTTTATCATTTTCCTGTGAGATCATAGATTTTTTTGCCCAAGGGGCATTTTAGCTAGACCCTGTGAATGTTGGGGTTTAATAATGCACTTCTTCCTCCTCGTCTTATGACATAATCATTACCGTGGATTTTCTGGAGCTGCCTTGCAGATGATAGAGGCCGCGCTATTTTCGTATTGACAAAGACTCCAGTGTTCGTAAACCGCCATAACAGATCAGTTGTTGCCAGACAACGATACAAGAGTTTGGACGGCGGATGCAGGGAATTAAAGATTCTTTGCGAAGAGCAACAATGATGAGAGAATTCCCAAAAAATGTTGTAATGGCCAGGAGAATGTTGACTGTTGAGGAAGACTGATTTTTGTCGAAGTCCATCAACTAAAGAGGGAGAGAACAATAGTTCTTGAAATATTTTAAATGTGTTTCACCTCTACTGAAATGTGTTTTCGCCATTTTTCTGTTTTCGTTTCCTATTTTTTGTAGATTATCTGCGATTGCAAAAAGAAATATTTGGTCTAAACAGCAATCACCTTGCAATAATCAATGAAACCTTTCTTCCAAAACAACATTCAAATCAAGACTTCCTCACCAGTGTTCACAGATTAAAATGCATAAGTAACAAAAAAGGTTTTTTTCCTCTTTCAACTTGTCTGAGGTATGAAATAACATTATAGTATAAAACAATAATAGGAGACAAATAAAGACACCTGTAATATGACTCTATTTTCACAGTGTAATAGCTCATAATAGTGATGTCAGTTAGCCTGGGAAAAATTCAATCGTGGCATTTTCGGAGTTCGCTATACAAATGTTCAAATTTAATGTATGGCCACAGGGGCAAACTTATTTCAAGATATTTAAATTTGACTGTGTAATCAATTACGTTTTGCAGCTCCTTTATTTCCGTTTCAGATTCATAGTGATTTTTTCCGGATAACATCATGCTAAAGTTAGCTTATTAAAACCCTAGATACAATTTCTTTTTTTCAAACATCCTTTTGAGCAAAAAGACATGAAAAATATTGTCGTATCAAGAAAGCTTCCATGTATTCGGCAGATGACTGATTTATTCTCGCTGCGTTTCCCTTCAGCGACAGTTATTGTAATAGAATGACGGTTACACCCTTATAATCAAAATTTATCATTTAGGAACCTCTTGTTGCTCTCAGCTACGTCTTAAGCAACTCTTACTTATCTTTCAAGCTCTCAAAACTTCCCGCGTGCTTCAGATCCTAATGAACGCACGAATCCATTGTTAAATGTACCATTTCAAAGTTAAGAGGATTTGATTCGCTCTGACGAAAGGCTAGCACTTGAAAAGTGAGCTTCAGAAGCTCTTTATGGTGGCCTATTTACATTATCAAATTAGTGGATAAAACCAAATTATCTTGTAATACCCTTCACTGACGCAGCATCACAGTTTCTGCAGAATCTTAGTCCACTAAAAGTTGAAAAGTAATTAATTAGCCAGGACGCATAAAAGGATTGAAAAGTTACGTTAAATTTTGGAAAAACGAGAGATTTGAAAAGAAAGAAAGTTAGACAGGGAAGTAAAATCAAACTCACATCTCGATTGCCTCTTTATCATGCATGCAAACCGTTATGTTTTTCTTTTCGATTATGTATTTTGTATTCAGGATAAGTGCTTTCCCTTCTTATCGGATGATAAATGTTTCGATGAGGAATTAATAGATAATATCAAAGACAGCTTGCACGACGGCTTATTGAGTCTCCCATTTCTTCCTTCTAATCGAATATCCTACGAGCTCTCTCTTATTTAAAAAAGATAACCATGACTGTGTAAGTCAGCTTTGAAAACATTAAAAGTGAAGTGCTCGTCTGATTGTCTGCTTCACCGCTCGCCTTACTTCCCGAATCCTCCAGTAGTAAATAAACGGGTTTAACGTTGAGTTATAATAGATTAACGCAATTGCTAAACCCCAGTTGATGACTAGGTGTGATGAATATGTTTTACTTAGAGCGATCACAGTTTCCACTATACTAAATGGCACATAACAAACAACTAATGCTAACTGCACCCACACGGCACTGTACACTGCCTTCCTGTACTGCGCCATGTTCAATGCGTTTGGTTGGTTCGGCTGCTGTTGGACGTGATCTTGTACTTGAGCCTGATGATGAATAAGCGTGCGGAAAATCTTTGTGTACGAGACCAGTGAGATGGATAGGCACGATGGTATAACTAAAATGCCAAACCACGTGGCTATACGGTGATCTAAAAGGTAGCTTAACGCAGTGAAACCAGATAACACCCAAAAGGTAGCTACAAGGATATAAGTACGTTTCAAAGTTACGAGTTCTCTGTACCTTAGCCCTAACAACAAGGCGAGAAGTCTGTCCACGCTTATGGCCGTCATCGTTAACAACGACACTGAACATAATGCATAGGCTGATACGGAGAATGTGTCATATGCAAATCTACAAAGGTTCCAGTGCTCGTAAGAGACGGACATCCAATAAGCAGCATGGAGAGGCTGGCATAGAAGGCCAACCAACAGATCAGTTGTTGCCAGACATCGATACAAAAGTTTGGACGGCGGATGAAGGCAAGATTCCTTATGAAGGGCAACAAGGATGACAGAATTTCCAAGAAATGCTGTGAGGGATAGGAGAATGTTGGCTGTTGACAAATAAACTGATTGTTGTCGTAATCCACCGACCAAAGAAGGGGAACATGTCTGGTCATCAAATATTCGCAGCTCTCCGTCCCGTGCCAAATTTTTTGTTCCGTTCATTTTTCAAAGTAGCCTAATGAACGGTCGTCTTTTTTTTTTTTGCTTCTTCAGTTTCAGCGGTTTGTATTCCATCTTATCAGCACCTGCTGAGCCATCAATATTAAAATGCAATTTCTTTACAGAATTGACATAAAACCTCCGACAGCATTTTCTCTGTTAAAAATGTTTGAACAATCTGTAAGTCGTGTGCTAAAAGATGTCAAAGTGTTTTCTTAATGGATCTTACACATCGTTTTTTATGACGAAACAAAAGAGGGAACGATTATTTGGAAACTGGCAATTCCATGAAATTTTAACTTTTCTAATTTTCCATTAAAAGTTTCCGCCATACTTACCGCTGAAGTTTTTTTTTTTTGCAAAATCCTCAGTTTTGTGTCGGAAACTTCCTTCAAAATGTTATTGTTTTATTTAGAACAGTTCCAGTGATTCTATAACTTAACAATGTCAAGTACTACAAATCTTTTTCTGGCTAAAAACTTGTAATTGTAGATTTTTCCATTAAGATTTCATTTTTAATAATAATATAAACACGAGGTAATATATACATGTGTGCTTCTCTGCTCATATTGTCACGTTTTTTTCCTTGCACAAATTGATTTCAATGTTAAATTTTGTTTATAAAGGTGTAACCGTCATTCTATTACAATAACTGTCTCTCATGGGAAACCAAGCGAGAATAAATCAGTCACTTGCCGAATACATGGAAGCTTTCTTGATACGACAATATTTTCATGTCTTTTTGCTCAAAAGGATGTTTGAGAAAAAAGAAATTGTATCTAGGGTTTAATAAGCCAACTTTAGCATCAAGCGTCAAACGAGAAACATTGATACTTACCGACTTTAAATGAGACTTTATCCAGCAGGACAATCGGATTTCTTGGTAACGAGAAAAATACTTATGTTATTGCAGCCTAATAAACAGTTCTCTCATTTTACCTGGTGTTTATTTGTGACTTAATGTAACGAAAATTATTCTTGTCCTAACGGCACCTGCCAGGCCACTATCTCGTACATCTGACTTTCTTGATAAAATTTGCAAACAAACTTCCTCAGTAACGTCCAGTCACAGAAACTGCTAAGTCGACATGCTATATATGTAAATTCTGTCTATATAATCTAATATATGTTTCTCGCTCATTGAACTGAGGTAAGTGAAGTTTGGTCTAAAATTATATCCGTCATTTCAACATCGAACGGGCGCGAAGGGAGAGTTTGATTTGAATCACTGGTATGATATCAGATTCAAATTGCCTAACACGAAGTTCAATTAGCACTTTATTACATCCATTTTGAAATCGCAAAATGTGTAAAAATATTTAATTGATCCTGTGCTGAGCTGAGTTTACACAGGGAGGCTTCAACAGAAAGAACAAAGAAAACCCCCCTCTTGTTTCCTGGTTTGTCGGCTGATAATGTCCTTGGCTGATGAAAAATTGTGGTCAAAATTTCACATCTGCCATTTTCAAACAATATCTCACCTGCGAACATTATCAGCCGCATGAAGGGGTTTATTTACTTGGAAATCACTGGTGGTCCCTGTAATCTGATTGGCTCTTCCCAGCCAATGAGGAGGCTACACTGAAAACAAAACAACCACTCAGATTTCAAGGCTTGTTTAGAGTAAACGATCAAATTGCAGGAAAATGAAAGACAAAGAGTATCGTGTGGCAAATTTTGCAACTTTTGTTTCCCAAACTCTTATTTTTCCTCCCAAAAACTAAATGAATTTAATTTCAAACCGGCTCAGTATTGCATTAATAAAATATTTGAACTAACCAAGTCCTGTATTTGGACGATTTCAAAA